CCTAGGGCCCTCGGTGGGCTAAAAAATTACGAAAAACTGAGACTTACCGGCAGCGGTGCTCTCGGGTGCGGCGGCTCCTCCGGCGTGAGTCGCATTTTGATGTTTGTCTCCGATTAACCAGTAGAGAAAAGAACGGTGATCACAGTGGTATAAAATTTACATCGAACGGAGGCCGGGAAGGGCCTCATCGGAGGCAAAAATAGAGGGGAGTCGCGGCGGCGCTGCCGGACTTCGGCGAGGTTTTCCGGCCGTTTGGCTGGTGGTTTGGCTCCGGTTTGGCCATAGGCGGATTCAGCATCGAAAAACGAGACAGGGGGAGAAAATTTACCTCAATTGGCGGTCGGAAACTTCTCCGATGCGGCGGCGGGTGGCGGCGGCCGGCTCCTCCAGCGTCTGGTTCTTCTTCTCCGGCGAGGCACTGGCGCTAGGGTTTTGTGGTCAGGTGTGGGTGAGGTTATTTATACCTTTTGCCTTTTAATCTCAACCGTCCATCAAGATTAAATCTGGACCGTCCGATCATGATTTAATTGAGATTAAATCTGGACCGTCCATTGCAATGCAATCTGGGCCGATCGTGCCTGATTGAATCTGGGTCGTCCGTACGCGTGAATCTGGGCCGTCCGTGCGCACGTTTGATCTGGGTCGTCCGTGCGCGCGGGAACGGATTTGGGCCGTCCGATCGCGCGCACGTGGTCTGTCCCTTGTCAGCATTTTCTTGCCACGCAGCGTGTCCTGGTTGGCCGGGGCTGCTGACCGGGCTGCTGACGTGGCTGCTGACGTGGTACAACTTTTCTAAATTGCGTTTTAACCTCCGTTTCTGATTTTCTTTTCAAAAACACTCATAGAATCCAAATTTTCACATCTTTTTCCCAAAATCAATTTCAATTAAATCCAGATAATATTTTTACCTAATTTTATTATTATTATTATTATTATTTTTATTAAATTAATTTAATTTAAATAAAAATCTAAAAAATTCAAATACAAAAAAAAAATTTAATAAAAATAAAAATACTATAAACAAATATTTTGGGTGTTACAATAACCCAACAAAATCAGCAATAGATAATCCGTTAGTAATCCGAAATTAATTATGAACATTTTCTAAATTGTAACAAAATACCGTATTTATTGTTAATTAGACTTTAATTCTATAACCGAAAATAGGGTGAGAGATTCTTACTCAATTTGATATTCGAAAGGTTAAATTGTTGACTGCACCTACTGGCGGTTCCCGGATTCCCTAAATTTTTATTCGGAAATTAAAATACGCTATAAGTACCTACAAATGTCCCAAAAAAATCTAAAATCAGTCTTAGGGCCCATTTTAGCCAATTATGAAATTCTGGCACGACAGCTCCATCATGCTCCGGCGACAGCGGTTCTCTTCGGGTTGGCTGTTTTTAGCTGATTTTGCATCAATCCTTATGAGAAAATACGTTAAGGGGCCTCGGTTGGCCAAAAAAATACAAAAAAGTGAAACCCACCAGCGGCGGAGCTCTCCGGTGTGGTGGCTCCTTCGGTTCACGTTGTGGTTGGGTGTTTTGCTCCGGTCAACCTATAGAGAAAGAAACGGTGATCACAATGGTAGAAAAATTTCGCCGAAAAAGAATCGGGAAAGGCCTCATCGGAGGCGTTTTGTGAAATTTCCTACGGCGACGCTGCCAGAATTTGTCCATGGTTTCCGACCAATCAGCGGATTCTTTTGCTCTGATTTGGCCATGGGAGTGTTTAAAATTGAATTCCGAGCAAAAATTTTTTTTTTACCTCTTTTGGTGGTTGGAAGTAGCTCCAACGCAACAGCGGGTGGCGACGATTCTCCTTCCTGACGGCTAGGTCTTCTTCTCCGGCGAGGGCAACTGGTGGCTAGGGTTAAGATTTGTTGTGAAGAGGGTTATTTATACTCGTTCCCTTTTAATCTGGGTCATCTATCCCGTTTGATCTGAACTGTCTGATCGCAATTAAATAGGAAGTGAATCTGGATCGTTCATCGCGATCTAATCTTGACCGTTTATCGCGATCTAATTTGAACCGTCTGATCGCGTTTGGGGAGAGAACGTATCCGGGCCATTCGTGAGTGCAGGAAGGGATCTGAGCCGTTCGATCACAGACACGCAGATCGCCTGCGTGGCACTGCGTTAGCGCCCATTGCCACGTGGCACGTCTTGATTCATCGGGGTGGCTGACTGGGCATCCTACGTGACACAAGTTTTTTAAACTACATTTTGATCCCTGTTCATCAAGACCCAAATTTTCACTCATTTTTTTAAATTTTTTTTTAATTTCATCCTCAATCAAAATTATTTTATTTTTACACTAAATTAAAATTTAAAAAATTTAAAAAAATTACATTTAAATTAATTTGATTACATTAAATTAAACTTGGGTATTACAGATGGATCAATATTCACATCATATGTTACATGTTCGATGAGATATTCACATCATTTCATCGTCACTACTAACTCCTTTATCATCTCATTGCCACCACTCATCTAACCCCTTGTCCTTCCGGTTAAATCTTCACCATTAATAGCTACCATGTATGTAAACTCAAATTTGTTTTTAATTTTAGGTTAATTGACTAACCATATTTTTAACGAATAAGGATAAAAATGGTAACTCTAAGTGGTTGTGAGAGAAATGAACTGATTTTTAGTCAGATAATTGACCAATTTAACTAGGTTTGGACTTCTGTACAAGGAGTCTAAAGACAATTTCTTCCAACTTCTTTATCACTAAGAGCTCGTAGCATCTGTTATTATATAATAAAAAAAAAAAGAGATGGAAAGGAGAGTGATAGGTCGTCAAAGTTGGATTAAATGAGTTGGAGAGTAGATGAGCGGCACCAATAGAATGATAGTAGAACAATTAATAGTGATGATTTGATAGACTCAAGTTGCATA